TTGTGTGGATCGTGGATTGTGGAACCATGTGGAGTCGAAACGCAGTCTACGCTGGACGTGGGCGTGGGCCTTCCAGTCGCCTATCTCCAAACAATCTCGTTTAGCACTTTAATTGACTGATAGGATAGGCGGAGTGGTGGACAAAGAATGTCACACATCCCGCTAAACATCCTTTTTGATCTCAAACCCGTGCCGGAAGGATAGATCCGCTCATTTGAGCTGAACGCCCCTAAGACCTAAGACATACGTTTCGATCTTTGAATTGTAGCGAATAACAACCCTGCCTGCCAGAAAGGGGGCCTGGTGTATCGTTGATAATGCTGTCAGATCGTTTGTGAATGGAAAAATTGGCTTTCTTTCGAATGGTGCCAATAGTAATAACAATTTTTTGGCACATATAAATACCGTATATATATATATATATTTTTTTTTTTTTTTTTGGGGGGTATGTGTGTGGAAATATGAACCTGTACCAAACAAAACCAGGCTGAGGTGCGCGCAATTTTGGCAAGCAATGTTTGCAATCAGCTTTGCTCAAAAATTGTCCCTCGTAGGTTTTTCCCCAAATGGTGAGCGCTGTTGGTGTTCTTCTTAGGAAAAGGTGCCCGTGTGCGCTTTGAAGCTTGGGTGCTGGTGCCGCTGCAGGGTGACAGGACAAGAAGAAAAGATGAAACAAGATTTTCAAGCATCAGAAGGCGATCATTCCGGGCATTTGGGGCCATGGTTTCGACTGGAAGAAACTTTCTCATCAGACCTGCTACCGTTAGAGCACGCTTTATCGTAGTTCATAAAATCCGAGGTCTGAGGCGGAAAGGATATTCAAGAGCGCCTTTATCTCACTCGTCTATGCTATTATAGTTTCTTTTAATCTCATCAGGGGAATATCTGCGTGTGGTGTTGTCAAACACAGAATAACACAAATGCTCGGATGCATTCTGTCAAAAAGGTTCACTCGACCTATTCGAACTCAATCGGCTGAGGGTAAGGCGCACGAAAGCTCGAAAGCGAATTGAAGCGCGAAGAGTGCAATGGCAAACTGTCTCGAAGTATGGTGTCACTGCGGGTGAAAGGGTGACTTTGAGCGGGATCTGGCCTGAGCTTCGGAGGCTCCCAAAATTGCAACCTGCCGGACAAGTGTGCCATTGCTGTCCACTACTGAAAGGACTCACGCTCCTCTCATCGATTTACTCAGCGTGCTGAGTAAAAGAATCTCGCGAAGACAAGAAAACATGCGATCGGTCTGCTCAAGGCCTGTGACCCGTGCTTCCAACAAAACCGCACAGCGAGTCAGATCTTCCATGAGGCGATAGGAAATAGGATGGGTTCAGGGCGGGAAAAAAGACAAAGGGGAAATTATTCAAACCTTTATGTCCTAGATCATGCATCTGCACATGAAGACACCATGGATGCCTCTGTTGACACAGTGGTCTGTGTTTACCGCTTGAAGGAATGTAGGACATGTCTGCACAAGGACACTGATCACGCTTTGATCGTTTCAATTGCGCTGCAAGATTTGAAGTTTGGAAAACGTGTCAAGAGGATCTTTAAAATCCTTATCGCTCTCAACTCACTATGTACTGAGGGTTTCAAAAAGGATTCTAGTTGAAGTCAAAAGATGTTCGTTTTCCAAGAACAGAACTTGATCGTATTATTTTGCTTCAAGTCTTTTGTGCAAACAGCCAAAGAGTTTTCTATTTTCAATTTGCCCTGGCCAGAAAGGTCTTTGGACGAATGCTTTCTTGTTTGTGGCGCAACTATATAGATGGCTTTGATGTTGACGACCAGCCTCAGTGAATCCTATCCCGACCGACCGACTCCCCAAACGGTCGTTGTTACGGTTCATGTCTGCTTAGACAGGATCGTCCACTTCGTGTAAGCATCTTTCTCCATCCAGACCTGTTACCGTTAGAGTCAGGGATACGATCACCCGCATCATTTGTCAACCAAGCCCTTACCACCTTCACGCACGCTACCCACGCTTTATCATACCTGAAAAATATCCGAGGATATTCAAAAGCGCCTTTATCTCACCCGTCTATACTGCCGGACTGAAAAACAGAATGTGGTTTTGATTGAAAAAGACGCTTCCATTACACCATTCGGTGGGACCGTCACGTCTTCCCCATTCGGTGAAAACCTGGAGCTTCAAATTGTATAGATTGACCATGTAGCTGCTAATCCATGTTCGTGCGGTCAACCATCAGGCTCCCCTGCTTGAAAGACCCCGGGATTGAGGTGGACATCATACAACGCCCCGGAGATACTGCCCGATGCTGAGCATGCTTAGCCATCACTGCGACATGTGCCCAAACAGTGCAGGTCTGACCATTGGACAAATGGGGTCTGTGTTTTAACAGGGAGCCCACCGATGCAGTGCAGTTAGTTCTCCTTCTTCCGGGTTGAACCGGGAGGTCTCCCTATTCTTCCAACAGTCATCAAAAAATGTCAACCACAAATGCTCGGATGTATTCTGTCAAAAAGTTCGCTTGACCTATTTGAGCTCAATCCCAACTCTTCTGGTAAAAAGAGACTCTGGGGAACCCTGTGAAACGCTGAACATCTCAGAAGCCAGCGTTCGGGTGAGAAAGGACCTCACTCTCCTACCTGCGGTCTCACTTGTCTAGACCGACCTGCAGGACTGTCTAGACCGACCTACGGGACTGAGATGGACTCGGAATCACAGTGGTTGGCTGGCACAGTCCACGAGCAGTGCGGACCGGCACAGTCCCGCGCACCAGGTGCTCAGTGGCCTGAGCCGCCCTGGGAAACAGGCAGACTTCAGCAGGCATACTTGGCGAGATAGCTTTTGGGAAAGTTCCGGCCGTGAAGCTCTTGGGCTGTTGCCAAAGAAAAGGAAGCAGGCTTCCAGATGAGTTGTCTGGTTTTGTGTTGGCGATGTTGGAGTGGCAAGGAGGCAGCTCGAGTGGACTCCAAAGGGGTAAATTGGAAAATGTGGAGGACAAGGTGCTGTTTAACACAAGAAGTCATGCGCTTAGCCACTCCGAGGCAATGTCGAACCTTTAATGCGATTGGTTCGCGGTCATGGTCACCTTGGCATTCGGCGGGCCAGAGCATCAAAGACCTAAGATGTGGCTTTAAGACCTAGGACTTGGCTGCCGCTGCTATCTCATGGCCGGGTGATGGCGAACTTAATTTCCTAGAAAATGTTCCTGTTTAATTTCATTTTTGAGGAGACACCAGGTTCTGGGAACTGACCCAAAGAAACACCGGAGTAACACCCCAAGCTGGCGTGCTCCATTCACTCCAATCATCGCGCTGCGATGTGCTAAACAAAGCACGCACGCCGGGGTGGCTCTCCAAACCGGGACGTTTTAGAAATAGATTTCCAAAAAACATGTAGCTTAGTTCTATAGGCGGCCTGAGAAGCTAGCAAGGAAACAGTTGGGCAAAAACTGCTGCAGCAAAGAAAACCTCTGACAAGCAAATTATCCCTGCGCAAGCTCAACCAAAACACGGGATTCTTCTTCGCCTGCCACGATAGTGACAAAGTCCGAAGACAGGCACAGCACCGCAAAGAGAGCGCAGTCAGGACCAGCCAAAGCACAGCACCTGCCATAAAAATAAACTTTTTGCGTGAAGGCCGCCCACACACACACAAACACACACACACACACACACGCGCGCGAATCCTAGACTGTGTTTGGGGAAGAACCATGCTTCCAAATACTGCGCGTGTTGCGTTTTGGGCAGAAAGCGGCACCCTCATGTGCCATATACTGACTTGCAACTTAAATATATTGTTGAGCTCATTATGGAATCACTCCTCGAAACCCTTGAGTCTTACGAAATTTGCAAAATGTCGACTCCTCCCAGTTCGTAGTTAAGAGGGTGCTAGTGCTAGTAATAGATCTATTCTATCCAAGTAACTTCAGCCCTGTTTCAAGCCAAGGATTTCAGCCACCCAGCAAGTTCTGTCAAGGATCAACATCAGGTTGAAGGCCAGGTAGAGAAAGACCTGGGAAGGCCGGAATGCTATCCCCTCCCAACGGTGGATGTTGTGCTTGATGGCCTGGAAGCTCCAAAAAGAAACGTTTCCACTGCTCTGGTTCTTGAAAGCTTTCTTGCCATCGAGGAGTGATCAAGACACGATGCTGACCGATGATGGATGCCAATTCTTGACAGCTGCCCCGGTTGGATTGGAATGTGTTGGGGCTGGACTCGTGAACCAATCCCCCTCTTCGCGCCGTGGCGGAACCCGCAACTCTCAAATCTTCCTGACGACAAGAACCTCAACACGAACGATTGATTTACACAGAGACAACAAGAATATATATATATATACATCACCAAATGCCCAACACAAACCCTCACCATGTTCCCTTCTTCTGGGAAGATTCCAAGGTACAGTCCGCATTCGTAACTTGACATATCGACATACCCACACCAGGACAAGCAGTCAAAGCATATCGAGCTTCGTTGCTTGGTGCCTTCCAATCGACTTGACGAAAACCACGAGATCGATCGTACCGCCAGGAGTCGTGTCCAAGGGCGATCTGTTTGGACTGCCTGAGTCTCAAAATCACAGCACCCCTTCTTTGGGGGGAGCCAAGTTCCTTTCTGTGCCATCGGGGCCAGCAGGGGCGGGCACTGCGCTGGCTTGTTCTTTTTTTGGGGAGGGCTTGGCAAGAAAGGATTTTCCCATGAAGCCTTTCTCATCTCAACAGATTCTGTACCAATGTCCCCATAGCAAGCACCACACGCCTCGATCCAGCAAAACCCTCCGTTTGGTGGTTTTGCCGTGGAAAATTTGTGATACGTTCGCCCCATGGTTGCGCTTTGGCCAATGGAGGGCCTCCATTTTCTGTCAGACCCTTTTTTTCTCCGGGAGACGCGCTCAAAGGGAGGATCACCATGACATTCTCGGCTGTGCTGATGCTTGGGGTGCTTAGCCCTGCTTGGGGGCTGCCTAGCTGAGATCGTTGTATATTCGACTCTCTCAGGTCTCCCTCGAGTGCTGAGAATCGGCCACTCGAGCACGCTCAGACGACCATGGATTCGACGACGGTGTTCTCGATGATGCCTTGCACAAAGGCATAGGCCGAAGGTTCTCGAATGCCTTCGCGAATGCCTTCACACACACACACACTGATCTGTGAGCAAACTCGTGACATGTTCATGGTTCACCGACGGCTCGAGCAACACACATTGAGTGCTTGGAAGAACTGGGCACAGTCAGAGCCTGGTAACTATGACCTGTCCTGACCCGACCTGGTAGCTGTGGATCTTCCTGAAGGATGACTCTTTCTTGCAGTCTGCGTGCCGCCACCAGTACCAGACTTAAACAGAACAGAAGAACGTCCACTTCCTTGAAGCACAGACTGACGGCCTTTGGAGTTGGAAACCGCTTGGAGTTCAAGCCGAGTTAAACGCTCCACATCATGTTCGATCAGCATCGGGTTGTTTGCAGCTCTGCTCACCTCCTCACCACCCGGTCGCCCACCCATTCGTTCGCCATCGGGCCCAGGTGCTGGGGAGTGGCGTCAACTTGGTGTCCTTTGTCTCCTTCCGGTCGCGGTAGTGCTGCGACATGCCGGAATAGTAGGGCCGGGCTGGCTAGAAATAGCTAGGATAGGTCGTTGGCCCAAAGGCCAGCCATGTGCCTGGGAGGTTTTAGAAGGGAAAGACTTGCCCACGTGTGAATTGTCCTCCTACTTTTGCCCTTGCTTCTCACCCATTTGCGCCATTTGTAGGGGTTGCAAGAAACACGGGCCCAAAACGAAACGAACGTTGAACATGATTGAAAATAAAAGTCTTGCAGGGAAGGAGCGCAAACAAATATGAGATGAGCGAGTCCCAAGCACCAAAACCCGGCTAGCCCACGTGGACAAGGATTGTTGAAGAAAAGCTTTGGAAGATCGGATTTTGGTAGAGTTTTGTTAATACCTGCTGACCAGTTTACAGGTGTATACCCCTGGGAACCTATATGATATAATTAGACAGGTGCAGAGGTATGCAGCAACCTGCCCGTTCCGTTTCGCTTCCGCTTTTTCTCCTCTCGCTTGGGCTTTGCAACCGCCCGCAGCACCGCCCGCATGGCGCTGGAGACCGCCAGGTCGTGGTTGGAGACCTCCTGGAGGGGGAAGGAAGTTGGCTGCAAAAAACGTGCAGAGTCTTGAATATATATATATATATATATACACCAAATTATAAAAAGGAATGCACGCCAAGATGGCACAACTTTTACTTGGGCCGTCTTAGCGTGAATCCCTATAAAACAATACTATATGGCTGTTTGATATGAAGAAGGTTTTCCAGGGTTTGCCATCCAAACGGGGTGGTTTTACCGTATGAATCGCGAGCTTACATTAAAGCCACAAGGCAACCTGTTCGGGGCACGGTACAGTCATCTGAACTGCAGCCATGTCTGTAGTGGTTTTGTTGTGGTCTCGGGTGGAGGTAGTAAAGCTGTTGGTTGTATATAATTTGAGCTGCCTAAAAGAATGCCGGCAATAAGGACCATCAAACACCATGGCATCTAACATCGGCATATGTTGGAACGTTCCATCTATCTATATACTATGTACTGTATATATATATATATGTATACTGGACGATGGTTTGTCTGGCTTTTCCCTATCCGATCCGGCCCTATCCCGTTTACCGGGCTCCACTGCCGCCACTGTTAGGGTGCACAGCCACTCCTCGGTGCGCGACCAGTTTTTGCTGGTCATGTTCAGCCTAAGTCGGGCGCCGTTCCTTGTGGGGCCGTTCCTCGAGTCGTGGCGCCGATCGAACGACTGGAGGCTTTCCATGCCTGGAGACCGAACTGGAGACCGAACTTGGTGGCCTCGCTGATTCAAACAAACCCCATGGGTCCCGAGGAGTGGCAGTTGGGGTGGTCTTGCCATACCTGGACTTGGAGCTGCTTCTTCTAGATCGATATCAATTCATTCCCCCCCCAAAAAAAGAATCCGAAATGATGGCGCAGCTCTGCATTCCGGAAGGGTCACATCTGGAAACCTGAAACGAAACTGGCACATCTACATCCAAAGTCATGGCACATCATGGCACATCTACATCCTACCTCCCTCTTTCAGCCACCCTGGAGACTCTACGGTCCGAGGTCGCCCATCCCTTCGCCCCAAGTGGCACATAGCCGCTGTTCCCCGAATGGTTGATCCTCGCGTTCTCCAGGCCTCATGGGATCCCCATGGGCCACGGGATCTTAAGCTTCGTTGGAGTGAATTCCATTGCCACGTACAAAAGGCTCTGAAGTCGGCAAGCATCAAACAGGTCAAACCAGGATTGTCTCAATGGCGGCCACCTTAGTGTGTGTTTTTGAAAGAAATTATCGTCGTTTCGCCGAGAAAAGCATCATCCACCTCGCCAAGCCCATTTCGTGCCGGTGTTGCTTCTTCCCGTCATTCTACGGTCCACATCGTTATTTTGGATCCGCCATCCGTTGCGTTCCGTCGCCATCTGGAACCTCGAACCGCCCCTCCCCAACAACCCACCGAGTGACACGAGAAGAACACGCTGCGACTGCGCACGGCCGCCGTGAAGGCCGCCAGGTCCACCAGGTTCACCTCCACCTGCCAAGCCGGCCGAAGAGTCGCAACGGGCGGGCCGGCCGGCTGGGTTCGGTGGCACCGGGGGGGCGTTGTGTCGATCGAGCGGACGGGCTAGGACGGTGCCTGGTGGGGCAAAACGCTGATGCCCAGTTGGGTCCAGGTGATTTCCACCAGCTCCACCAGCAGAACGAGCATCGAGGCCAAGCCCACCTGTGTACACATCTGTGCACAAACACGCTTTGGACCACAGGGCCTTCCATGGATGTGCCTTCCTAGAAATGCTTTCAGAAAAGGCAGTTGGATTGAGGTCTTCAATGCACATTTAAAGATCAGCCTTTAAACGAACATTGGCCATCGAATTTCCAGGATTTTTCAGCTAGCACTTGGCAGGTGCAGGTGTTTCCAATCGGACCTTAGGTCATAGCACTTGACTCCAAATCCGCCGATCCCGGCGCCATCTGATTACCATGGATCAGCGGTCTCTCCCACCGGCACCGCCACCGGCAGTTCGGTGGCTCGACAGGGCGAACTCCGGCCTTGTGGTTCTTGTGTGCATTGGCGAAGCCTCGGTTGGGAGGACTCCGGACCACCAACGGAGTTCAGTTTGGAGAGAAGCCTCGGGCCACACTTAGACTTCACTCAAGCCAAGTCTTTCGTTCGTAGAAAGTATAAAAGGATATAAAAGGTCCAATCGAGTCCTTGTATCTCGGAGGGCCGGAAGCTCTCGCAAAAACACTCGGTGCTTGGCTGAAGGTGTTCTCCGAGAAGGGTATATTAAATCGTTCTGTGAGAAGGGTAACATCCGGTGAAAGGAGGGCACATAGTGGACACTTGGATTTACTTGGCACGAATCCTACTAGTGACACATCGTGCGGGTGGTGATGGAGTGGCCGCCCCTTTACGGAATCGATGTTAGTCATATTAATGAGGCCGGTGAAGCTCCACTTCATCCCAAATCAAACAACGGATTTGTGGCCCTAAGAGACGGGGCTATAGCATAGCAGTTCTGAGAGCAAGAGAGGCACGTCACTTCTCTACTTTGGAACACTTGCTCGTTCTACTGAGATTCCACGCTTCTTCAATATCACTGCAACCCCAAGATGATGCCAAACAGCGCATCTGTCCATGCCAGGTAGCAATCTGGCAGGTAGCTGAAGAGAACTGCGTGGAAATGGATACCATCAGCCAGCAAGAAGTCCTCAATCATGTGAAGTTTCCTCCCATCACATTGCCAGAGTACCTCCTCTACAAGTAGCGCTTGTTCCATCTTGATTCACTTAGAGCAGCTGTAGCTGATCAACAGGGTGCAGGTTTCATTCTCCATCAACAGTTTGAGCCCGGAAGCAGGGCTAGGACGGCTAAGGATCGAAGAGCTCCAGCCTAGGGTTCCTTCAGAAGCCATTCCTTCAGGCCCCCAAACCCAAGATCCTGCACCTCCCATAGATCCATATCCGAGTCTCAGTCAACGCTTGACGTTCAGACAGGCTCAAAGAGCACCAGCTGGAGAAGGCCATTTCGAGGGCAGTGCGTTCGCCTCAGCGGGTGCTGTTCAGCCGAACGCATGATTGAAGCAGCCAGCATCCCGGGCGTAGAATGGGTCACAATCTCAAAAAATACGGAACTCTTAAGTCCTCACCCCTGAAGGATCAAGCAGCAGTCCTCTAGGTGGTCCTTTTTGGGATGGGCCCACCCATGGCCGCTGCCGCCCGGGCGCGAGTGCGACAAATACACGCGAGCCGCAAGAAGGCCAAATCCTGAGGACGGCGTCCGCATGGCACGTGACTCCCGGACGTCCGGGACTCTGAGGTGGATGAGTGTTTCTTCGTGGCGCAACCCCGAAAGGAACGCCGGTGCATCGGGTGCGACGACAGCGGTGCCTCCAAAGTGTGGGTCGAGAGGGCCAAGCTCCGACCCCAGTGACAAAGGTAGCCTCAGCCCGGACCCGACCAGAGCGTTGCACGGCCCAGTCCGGTCAGGCTAAAACAGAAGTGCAAGTGCAACTGCATCGAATCACAGAAATTAGTCTACTGTAGTATTATTTGCTGGCCACCTCCATTGCCAATAGCAGTGGAAGTAGTGGTGTGCAATTCGAAAGCATCGAAGCCGGGCACAAAAAACCTGTCCTGTCCTGTCTGGTGCATTCAACAGCCTCCCAACATTCAGCCGCACCCCAATGCTGGCCAAGCCACTCCAATAAATCTCCTGCAGGGCGCAGGGAGCGGGTCCGCTCCGGGGTCCCGGCTGACCGACCCGAAACCCGGAACGGAAAACGGATCCGCTGAGGGCGCTCAAGCACCGGTGACCGGCTGCTTCATGGCGCTCCTGGCTACTCCGCAACTGCAACTTCTGCAGTGCCTGCAAGCCTCAGAACGAAGCACTGCTCCAGCTGTGCTGGCAGCCGTGGACACCGCGGCCAGCATGGTGGTTTTCCGCAGCCAGCATCCCTGAAACGGCCAACGGCCAAGTAACTCACAGATTTGGGTTGACACTTGTAGCGGCCTCTGTCAGGGTTGTCACTTCCCTGGTAGTTCTCTTCAGACTCAAGGACGAGGGTGTGTCTCAAAAGGACCCAAGCACAACAGTGGCGTTTGATCCACTTTCCTCGGCTACTAATTTTCAGGGCTTTTGAAGTCTCTCCCTATTACATCCCATGTTCCATCTTCCCTGCATGGTTCGGCATACCAGCCACTCTCCATGTGCTGCCCGAACACTGTGGAGCACTGTCAGTGTGGTCGGCTCGATGAGGAAGGGCGAGCCACTTGTGCCTTGGCATTTCCAAGTCCCTTGAACCCTCCCAGTACTGTTGCACCTCCACATCACGACAAGTTTCAATTTAGTGAATTTTGGTTCAGGAATGATCGACCGGCGGAAGGATCTTCACCAAGTGCGCTTTGGCCGGTACAGTCGTCCCCAGGGAGGCCCTTCTGCGTCTGATGTCCAATGGTCAACATTCCAAATGTCCAATGGTCCAATGACATGCAATGGCATGTTCTCCCCGTAACCCACTCTAAAGCCAATATACATATTGGAGTCTGTGGAACGCTCATGAACTCAGCATGCAACCAGCGCCGACTTGGCTGATACTGGCATCTCAGCAGGGAACCCTGTCAAGTGGTGGGTCGAGGGGTCTGGGGCCTCATTTAGAAACACAACTCACCAACCCCACCTAGACCTAACCTAAAGGATGATCTCCAATTCCACCAGTTCGACTTTTCAATTTCGCAATCCGCCGATCTGGCCTGGTCCTGCACCAATGCCTGCCAGCCCAGTCAAAGCTGAGAAGAGGAACCTCAGCAGTTCGGCTGGAAAGCCAAGTCTCGCCAGTGGTGGCTTAAACTGGAAATCTTCTTGTTAAGATAGGCTTGATTCCAGGTATATACATTCATTGAATATGCCAGGTCAAGAGCTTCGAGGGAATTTGTTGGTGTTGCTCTTCAAAGGATGTTGTTTGGATGATGAGGCTGCTGGGGCAAGCGGTGCTTGAACATCCCACAGAGCACGCGGATTTAGTTCAAAGAAGCCCTTGTCTCCTGGCACAAGTGGCGCAAGGAAAAGGAAGGAACAGGACACAAAAGAAAGGAAAAGGAATCTGCCACCGTGCCACCACCTTTGTTTCCGTATAAGCCACAAATGGCCAGGTCGATGGGCGTCGATGGGCCTCTTTTGCATGTAATCATGTAGACTGTAAGAGCCACCGAAACACCGGTTCATCTTGGAAGCTACGACAGGAACAAGTGCATCGCTAGTAGCGTCCGGACGCTACTAGTAGAAGCTGTCCACGACTTTGGGAGGCGCGTCCGTCTCGCACTCAAAGGGCGCTACTAGGTCTCTCTCTCTCTCTCTATGCATACATCCCCTCAACCCTAGACACCCCAAGCCTTAAAAACCTGAATTGATGAGTCAAGACGCCCTGCCCCGTAGTGACCTACCCATCGAATGTCAATCCAGCTGGGTCAGTGCCACCTCTGCCTTCATTTCCTCTTCCCGCTTTCAACTCAAAAACATGCATCATATGGGCCATATGGGATGAACATGCGAACCATCCAGAGTTATACAAATAGTTCTTAACATGACTTACTGCAAACGATCATGTTCGAGTCTCGTTGAGGGGTCGCGTGAAGGTGGATCTCGCGGTCGGGTGAGGAGGACTCGCGGGCGGTGGAGGCGGACTCGCGGAGGCGGGGGACTTGCACAGGGGGTCTCGACGGCAGATTTCTTGTTACTACTAGTAAGGCACCTGTTACTACTAGCGTGGCACTTGTTTCTACTAGCGAACCTTGTTACTACTAGCGATTTCTTTTTTTTTCTTTTTCTCAGCTCTGCTGGTATTTTCCTCACCGTCCCTCCCCGCGCAATGCTTCGTCTTTACACTGCAGATTGCTATGGCTCCAGTTTGCCTCGCCGCTTCCCAAGTTGTTCTGACCCACCCAGGGCCTCCAGGCCCACCGAGTGCGAGGATCAATGCCATTTAAGAAGCTATGAAAACATGGATGTATAATGACTCCTCTCTATAACTGAACGTTACAAGCACAAGCATGTTGCAAAACCGCCCTCCCATTGGCCCATGCCCTCAACGTGGTTATTTTCAGAGGTCCCATGCCGGATGAGCCACCCTCTAACTTGACCAAGTTGCAGCTTGTAGGCTGCGTCGTCGTGCTCGGCCGCCCTGGCGAAATACTAGTCAAACAAGGTATCGACGGTCAGCAGTACGGAACATGACAGGCACTGTAACAGTTCCATGGATGTGCTTGCTCTTTGGTTCGCATCAAAAACCAGAGCAAAAACCAACGCATCCTTGACTGGTCTGCAAGTGCTTGCCGCTATGTGTCTCCACTGCAGTCAGTTATCGAGACGGAAGTTAACACAACATCCGCAGCACTTGTAGTTCAAGAAAATCAGCATTTCTGGATGTCCTATCGCATATCATCATTTGTTGTTCAAACATGGTGTGACTGATTGAAGCTTGGAATGAGTTTCAATCAGATAGGACATCGCGTGAGGGCCAATCGAATGAGTCCGCTTTTGATGTTTATATATGTAATTGTTGCTGCCTCCCAAGTCAAACGTTTTCCCTGCTTTTGTGCGCAAAAATCCGGAGGATACAAGTCTCGCAATGATCTTCTTCGGCCTTTGGCGTAAGATCTGCAAGCTCAAGGGTGTATTCTCAGCTTGCATGAACTGGCCAAAAACAAAGCTGATGTGCAACCTCAAACTGCTCGCCGTGCAGAACAACGGGCCAACCACACGGTTTCAGAGCAAAAGACACAGGGGCAGCCAAAGCTGTCTTGAATGGCCCCCCATCCAAAGTGATAGTATGGCCCCAAAGAAATGATTGCAAGCCCCCCGCTTCAGTTTAGCCAGCTGAGGCGTGCTTCCTCCGAAACTCACCAGTCAGAACCTGTCCCTACCAGCTTGCCACTTGACCACAGCTCGTGGGCGGTCGGAGACCCATCTCTACATCTCCTGAGCAAATCTCAGTTGAGATCCTTTGCCGTCCGTCACTAACATACCACGAATCCACCTGAGCCCACATAGGAATAGGTCGTGCGCATATGATTGCGCTTTTTGGCTGCTTCCCCCAACTAAGATACAAGAATCTCGTATTCTGTGCTTCCTGCGATTCGGGGAGGCTTGTTGGCTTGGAGGAGTCCTGTCTATAGTGAACGTATGGGAAATGATAGGATTCAGCACAATCGCGACTCCTGCGACCCTTCTTCATCTTCTTCCCAGTCTCCTCACTGGTTGGCCACCCAAAACAAATCCGACAGTGCTTTCCACTCCATCTCGGGGACTTTGAGATAGAGGTTACCAGCTCGTGTGTCACCTCAGGACGGGCCGTCTCTCGAGCTCTTCTTTTGGACCGGAATGGGAGTGGGAAGGTGGAGACGGTCCTCTTCTCCGTTCCCAAATTCCCCATGTCCTGCAGTTTCCGTTGCCCTTACTGCCTTACGGTCTCATCTTTCTGTCCTCTTCGTGTTCCCTACTTACTCCCCCCAGAACCTTGGACGAGGTAAGGCAAACCCTTCAAGGACGGAACATGACACCGATGACATCCATGAAGCGGTAGACCCTGTTTGTGGCGCGCCCCCATCATCAGTGGAAATAACACAGCACAAAACATATGACAAATGATATAGTAGAATCCGGGGTCCTATTACTTTAAACATAGACCACGCAGAAAGAGAGAGAGGAGCAACCAATCAAACAAGTCCGCCAACGGTGAGGGCCCCGTGCGGAGCACTGCGGAGCGCCCCATGAAATGATGGGAACTTCACCTCTGGTCGGGGCTGTTGATACCTTCAGGCTCTTCAAATAAAGAGATACGGGAGGGGTGGCGCATGATGGCGGAGTGTTTCACGGATCAACTACGTATATAGCCCTAGGTTTCAATGACGTTCCTGTGTTCAACATGCAAGGACACCCCTCTGCCCACCCTCTTGTGACAAAGTAGCAGCATACCACCTCTACGCGGCAGGCACAAGGCAGGGCAGGCACAAGGCAGCCAGGTGTCTTTTCGGATATGCATTTCGCCCTCTGCAAAGGAAAACTAACATCCTGGCAATTTGTCGAATGTGTGGAACCAATACAAAGCCGAATCCAAGTGTTGACATCTTATCGAGGTTCGTTCCAAGCCATTTTCACAGAGCCAAGGCTTTTGGGAGGGTTGCTGACCCACCCCAACCAGATCCCCCCCAAAAAATATCCATCCGAACGCGAGACAAAACTGAATCCCGTTCAGGTGGCTGGGTCCAAGTACTGGGCCGAGGGGACCACATTCATGTAGTTCTCCAAAAGTCGACACCTGAGACACGCACGTTCGCTGAGCCAGCTTGGGTTTTGGCCGTGGCCCACGTCCCTTTTCTCACCAGGAAGGGACACCCCTTCCAGATGCATTCGAACAAACATAGCAAAAAGCAGAAGATACTCGGTCTAACCGCATGCTTGGAAACCATCAAAAGGCAAGGGTGATCTTTGTCTTTTGTGCACGTGTACCGTGTGACTTGGAAAGCTCTTCAGCCCGAAGGATTCTGAATCTATCCGGCACATGCGGTCACATCGAGCCGACACTTCGACGTCCGACCCCCAAAAACACACCATTGGCGCGTGCGACCAAACGCTCGTGGTGTTTGGGGCGGCGTGACTTGGGGGCAAAAGCGTTTGCCAAGGGACACCACTTTATCGGGCGTCTGACATTCCACCGGCAGCTGCAAGGCCAAGCTCTTCGACCGGCCAAGGCCTGGCCGAAGGTCGAGACTTGTCCAAAGGATGATTCTTACACATGGATAAGAAGACCAGAGCATGGCAGCTCTTCCTGGCCGAAGGTCTATCTCATGGAAGAGTTGCCATGCTGGATGATTCTACAGTAATTGATTCTAGAAGACCCAGATAGACCCAGCATGGCAGCTTGTTTGTCCAGATGAGTCGCATTGCAACCGAGGTCGAGTCGAAGATGTCCCACAAACAGGTCGCTTGGAAGAGTGCAACCTCTGGGGATTCCTTTTCTTCACGAAACCTCATGGGTCGAAGAGACGGAACCGAAGTGGCCTGGACTCGATCGAAGTGCAAGTCGAGAGAGAGAGAGAGAGAGCGTGGACCCGGCCTTTCACGGCCAAGTAGACCAAAGTACCTGCGGACACAGGAATCTGCGCGGAATCCCATGAAATCCCCCGAAGATTTGGATGGCTCTTTTTTTGAAGTTGGAAAGGCACCCGCACGGGCTTCCAGCTGCTGAATTGTCTCGTTGGTTGCAGGTTGTTTATAAGACTGGGAGGTTTCGATGGCTCGTGTAACAGGCTAGGCGAACATGCTCTTGTGCAGTCCCCGCCCCATGGTGGCTTTCCCCCTCAAGTCTTGGACCCTGAACTGCCTTTTACCCTGAACCGCCTTGGAACATCGGTAGCACAGGATGGCACCCTAAACAATAGATTCCATAGCACAACTCAACACCAGGACTAACTTTAGCACACACACACACATATATATATATATATAAATATGACATAATATGTGAGTATATTATTGTATATTCACAAAGAAGTATGCCTCTTGCTGCATGGCAAGGGTGGCGGCCCTTCAGGATCCTTGGTTTCAGTTCCTCCATGCCCAGGGCACCGGAAGAAAACAAAGGTTGAAGACCATCGCTCTTAGGTCGGACATCGCTACTAGAGTTGGAGGCTATCCGGGTGGAGGCTCCGGTGGAGGCACCGAATTGACCACGTTTGTGGTGCTGAAGACTCCACCCACTCCACCCCCACATGCAGCTTCCGCTGCTGCTGCTCGAGGTGCCGTGGATCCACTGAGGCTTCTCCTTGATGCCCACCCAGTGCACGAAGTCCTGGGGACCCAAGAGGAGGATGGCCATGACTTGCTCCAAACGCCATCGCGGCGTGCGATGAGCGGGCGTCGGTGTGGGGTGGTGCGGGCGTCGGTGGCAGGTGTGAGTTTTCACACTCGCGCAGAATCGTCGTGCCCTCAAACCAGTGGAAGTCTTCCATGCGAGGTGTGTTGGGATGCCCTTCTTTGGGGAGGTCTTCCGAACACCCCGGCTCGAAAGAGGATCTGAAGCCATCAGCACCAGTCTGGACAGCCCCTTGAAGCACATAAAGGATGCGCTGATACACTGTACATATGGCATTGATGTCAATGCCTCGGCCATTCACTGAGACAAATGGTCAAAAGGATCAAAGGCTGTTGTGCTCTCACTAGACCTTGAAATCTGGTCCAGTTAAGCTCACACTGATTGTTCGCAGTGGGAACCGAACCGGACCAACATGTTTCTGATAGGTTTCACATCTCTTCACAGTGACCAGATATCTGGTGGCATGTGGACCCCCTTTCGCACCCCATGGTCCGCCTGCAAGCGACTCCATAACTGCGGCTGTAGCTTCTTGGAGCCTGGCATCAGGAAAAAAGGGGCTGGTTTGGGTAGTGAGCCATCAACAGAACATGGGGGGGGCCTCCCTCCCTCCCGTCTTTCTTCCTTTTCTTTTCATTTTCTTTTCTTTCTTTCTGTCTCCCTCCCTCCCTCTCTCTCTCTCTCTGTGTGTCTGTGTCCTCTCCATATATATAATGACCTGTAATCCTCAAACATGCCAAAAGTCGAAGTGAACCTCTGGGAGGCTCATTTCACATAGCCTCTCAGAACTAAACCTTCAAAATTGATCAAAATTGTCTTTTTGAGAATAGCGGTTGGGAAGCCCCCACCACTGTCAGCATGCATTACCTGGACCCGTTTGGCCGCTTGCGAAAATGTCATGATTCAACCGTTCATCTTTACGGGGCTTGGTGCATGAATCAGGTTTGGGACACTCAAGCACAAAGTCTGGCAAGCAAATTGTTCTTCATGTTTAGGGCGCTCTGCGTCACTGGCTCACCATTCCTGTTTGCTGTTGCTCCATCACTTCGGAGCTTGCATCAAAGGGCCAACTCTCCAGCTGTAAAAGGAAAGGCTGCCTCACTATTGAGTTCTCTAGCTTCTGTTCCTTCCGTGAGTATGCAAAAACCAAGGGGTCGTTGTTTCTACGCTTGTCGCTGCGCTTGCCGTTGTTCTTCACGGCCTTCCACCTCTTCCATCCTGATTCGGTCGGGTCTGCCGGCACCCGCACTCATGGCACCTGGCTGGCAATGGCTGAACTCCTCGTAGTTGTTGGAGGCCAGCCACAGCACACCTAGGATCGCTATGCGTAGCTGCCCTTGGCACAACCGGCCAGCTCCCTCCAACTCTGGTTGGCTTCCCTTCACCTGAGGGCATCTCCCCGCCTACACGGGACCAAAACGCCACTCCCCAGCCACGATGTGGACCGCAACATCTCCAGCCGTCTGAAAGAAGAAAAACCGGTGCCAGGCCCGTTTCACGCATGAGGTGCTGATCATGCATGACAGCGCGCGGTGCCGCTCCGTGTCGCTGGTGAAGACCTGCCGAAGACGGGGAAACCGCAGCGGGCGCGCGGGGGCGGCAATTCTCGCCGGTCCGTCAGCACGAGGTGTGCAGGTCAAGTCCTGTGTCAGGGACAAGGGAACGGAAAAAAAACAACATAACAAGAAGGTGAGACTAATTGGTGAATGCAACTAGGAAACCCTCAATGAACATGGTGCACATTGAGATTCGTGGTTCATGTCTGGTTGAAGACGAGCAACAGGACTAGCTTTTCATCTTTCCGCCTGTGAATCCCAAGGTGGACGACAGGCACCGATGGCAATGACACCCTCCCCATCTGATCCCCTGTTCCACTATAGAACTCCATCTTTAGGGTCAAATGGATTAGTTATTAGTTATATGGATTCTTATCATTTCCTATCCAACAAAAATAGGAGGAAAACAACACATCCAAACACCTCCCTCCAACGCCCCGTTTTCTTCGTTCCCCGCGCCGCGTGGGTGCCATTCTCCGGAGTGAGCTCCGGGAAAAGCCTGGAGCTGAATGGAGGGGGTCCAAGGCACAAATCGCCAATCGACCTTCCAAGTCTGGTGGTTTTTGAACACCCCAAATCACCTCTAAGACTCTAAGAGGCTAGAGTCTTAGACACCAAGACTCTGGAAGGTCCTGGTCGAGATCATGAATTTACACTCCTTGAAGTAATCATGGAAGTGGAAGACCCCTGTTTGTAAAGGAAAATGATCATCAGCTGGTCCAAGGGACCATTTTCCACTTCTATGATGATTTCAGGGAGTGAAAGGAATCCAACCCGTGCTTGAGACATGTCATGCTGTCATGCTTGCTATGTCTGGGATTCTTTGCCTACGTGATGCTGCCCACCTTCTGGACTTAATTCCCGAGGGGCCCACCATCGACGTCTTCGGGCGACTGACCCGAGAGGATCGGAACCTCAGGACCGTGTCGCTCTCGCTTGGTGCGCCCCCACCTCGCCAGCTCGTGCAGAATGTGGGCACCTGACTGGCATGACTGGTGCACCAAACACACCGCGAGAGTGGCTCACCTGTCCAACCAGCTTGCTGCACCTGTTAACCTTGTTAGGTACAAGTCACTGTGGTCATCAAGGTGTATACTCACCAATATCATCTTCTCACATTGGCAACCCTCCGCCAACACTGGACCGGACCTGTCTTCCCTTGCTCTCAGTTCTTCGTTCTTCAGTTTTTCGCACCACCGAATTTCCACAGGCTGGGCCCGTTTTGTGGCACCGCCTTCGCAGATTTTTCCGGACATCACATCTTCGATGAAGGCGAGGATCTCCTGACACAGCTGAAGTCGTCGTCGGGGCCCACCCGACCTGGTGTTGGGCCCGGTGTGCCACATGCGCGGACGGACCTGTTTTCAAGGGTGGCCACGCGAAGAACATGTCGCCAAGTGTCCCAGTTAGAAGGTGGGAGGATGCTCGACAACTTGGGCCGGGTTTTGAGATTGAATGCCGTGCCAAAGAGTCAAATCCATGGAGCCCAAGATCAATTTATGCATATATATATCATGTGAGTGGATCAAAATGGACCAACCTTTTGGTTGTAAAGGTCCGGTGTCCAAGTGAGACAGGAGACGAGCCCGTGAACCCGGCTGGGCCCAGAAAATGGAGCCCGGAGAATGGGAGAACCCTCCAAACTCCTCTTGCTCTTTTCCTCTGATTTCAAGCTCTGCACAACTCTGCAAAAGCTCCTCCTGAGAAGTGTTCTCGGTTGGAACTTCAAAGTAGACCAACAGCTTCTCCTGGCGTGTGACATTGGTTCCAAGCTGACGTGACTATGTGTTTCCAACATCAGGAAGCTGCATGGCTCCCCAGCACCAAGACTGACCAAGAAAAAGCTTGAACACTTCACGTCTATGAAAAGCCTCAAACCGTCTATGGCGCACCTCAAACTTTGCAAGCGATAGAAATGAGAATGAAATCATCCACCAGCAGAACGTGCTCTGACCTTCCAGCCTTTACGGCAAGTGTTAGGTAGCGTTCCAATTGGTCAGATTTTGGAGAAAACCACTTCATGTAGTTATCAAATCCAATCACAGGGCCCAGATCTTGACTTTGGCCTTGCTGAGGTGCCGCAGCTGATAGACGTCCGTGGCCTCGCTACACTCCTCAATCTCCTGCGAGACCGTCCCGTCCACATGCGAGGCTGTGAAATACAAACATGATACGACTGGAAGAGATTTAACGAAACAAGTCTTACCACTGTTGATGGAAACCAATTGGAAGAACAATGAAAACCACATCCTCTACCGTCATGATGCTTGCCGAATCATGGGCTGCAGCTCATTCCGTGTGGGCTTGGACCTACCAACAACCTGTTGCGAAATCATCTTCGGAACCGACGTCCGGACGTAGAAGTCTGCAAAGCACCCTTCGTGGTCCGGCCATTGGTGAAAGAAAGTCCGCATGACGAGTGAACGATGCGGATGGCACCTGAAGTGCGGCCTCCAAAGCTCGAGACCGAATGAAGTGCTGTTTCCGTGGGGGTTGCCACAAATAGTCACCGCGATTCGAGCCAGTTCAGAGGGTTCAAAAGCTGTCACATTTCTACTCGGCCTCTGGTTTGAGTGGGGTGACAAGTCTGCCGTCTGCCCGAGTTATTACAGTATCATGCTGGAACTCTTGGAAACAATTCTGCACAAAAAGTTCTCACAGGCTACCCTAGGGGATTTCCACATGCAAAGAATTTCTCGTGAGCGACTACATTATGGCACAAAAAGAGTCCGGACCCTATAGGATGGGCCTGAAAGGGGAGACAAAAACACTTCGATATACCTCGAAGTGTAGGGGCCTTTTGGGTCAAAGGCAGGTTGGGGGATGCATGCCGATCCTTTTTGGGGCCCGTGCACCGCCCAAACCGCAAACCGAGCCGTGCGGTGGCACTCCGCGAGTCCGATCCGCACTCCGCACGGCGCGTCGTCTCCTCGTCGGGCAAGTGCTCGGCCGCATGGGTCTCCTCGGCGTCGGCCCACGGCGACCCACGGTGGTCGGTGCGAGGTCCGAGGGAGACGAAGCACGAGGAGAACAGTAGGTGGGACCTAGTAATACCATAATATAATACCATGTAATACCTATAGCTTCATGGACCTAGTAATGCGCTTCTTCTCTGAGTTGGAGAAAAAGCGGGTGGTGTGATGTGGTGTGATGTGGTGTGCGGCGCGTGCCGAGAGCAGTGACATGGACATGGACTCTGGCGATGTTTGACACCTTTATGACTTTTGTTACTAGTAGCTTCTTGTTACTAGCGGTTACTAGCGATGGCCTCCAACCTACTTGCGATGGCCTCCACCTAATAGCGTCCTAACATTGCTTAGGTGACCCGACCTCAGAGTTCAGCTTCGCCTGGAGCTTCCGCGCATACCTGGGCGATTGAAACACCGGAACGCTTCGCTCGGCCGTTTCTCGCGGGGTATGACGATGAGAAGTGCTGGTGAATGTGAACACAGAGGAAGCACCAGTGACTACACCGCCCGAGGAACAAAAGACCGGCAAAGTTAGTCATTGCAAGTGGTCATGGGGAATCTGGTTGCTCGCTCCTTGAAACACGTCGCTTGCTCGGTGTCCGGCGGTTGGAAGCATGAACAACTGCCGAAAGCTATACACGCTGATTGTGTCCCAGTAGGGTGGGAAACATCATCACAAAGGAACATCAGGTTACTACCTTCCGTTTGCAAGAAAAGCATCGAGCACTATTGGCTATAGGTAATGATTGCAGAAATGCTCCTTTCTGGGGTCCATTCCATTCCAAGAGAATCCTGGCAAAGTACCGCCCAGCATGCCTCCAAGTCATCCCTGCCAGGACACTGATACACATAGCTGCAGCTCTCAGGATTCTCCTGCGCGTGTGCCATGTGCAAACAAGCTACCCAGCAAGCCTGCATGGACCATCTAGTCTACATTTAAACTGAGATTTGGGGCGCAAAGGCTTTGGAGCCTGTTGCTTCCTTCAAGCCATTTTGGCCCTTCGATCACCACTCGGACCTGGCAGATTTGGGTGGGGTACTGCAACGCCAGTGGCACCATGAAGCACCCCCCCCGACGAAACGCCAGTCCACCCGCTGTCCACCTCTCCTGAATCGCCTGGATCAACGCTGAGGGCTTCAGCAGGAAGGTATCCTGAAGGGCTTCAAGTGGCGTGAATGCACAGCCTGGGGCAAAAGCTTCTTGAACATTCTTGAACGGTGAAAGCGCACACACACACACACATACGGTACATGTATACACACCTCTTGAAATTAAACACAACCAGAATCATAAGCCACCCTCGAAGACGAGCTCAAAACAACATGGAGCCTTTCTCCGAACTGGTTTTGTTTCGAAAACGTCTGGTTTTGCGGGCCACTGTCAAGAGCCAAGGAAAGTTTCTCTTGTCCTGTTAAGTTCCCAGTCGTGTGGCCAAATGCATGAACCTCACGCCCCAGGCCCCGCAGCCAGGGCACGTTGAATTGGATGGAGGCGACGGTCGAGGTGTGCTGGAAGCTGATGTACCTTTCCATCCGTTCCAAAAGGGTTAGTGCCTCTTGGCCTGGTGAGCCACCAGCATCGAACTATGCGAACTCATTCTTGCTGGGGTTCATGTTGGGAGAGTGCTGCAAACATGCAAAGGAAGGAGTCCTACATAATTAACAACGCCCATGAAACCCAGGAAAATCGTCACCCTATGCAGCACTACCATCGGTGCATTGTGTGGATGCATGGCCGTATATAGTGATGAACTCCGAGTACCATCAACCAAGCAGTGTGGAGCCAGTGATCATGACCCATCTGGTTGCCAGCAGCTCGGCCTACTGTATAGTGGTCCCCAAATAGATGTGCGGATCTACTGTTCTATATTTGGGAGTCTATGTGTAGCCGGTCTGTGTTTTTGATGTAAAGCTGCGGGCGCTATTTTCAGTCCATCACGCATCAAGACGCCCCAAAGCCGGGCGGCAAAGCGATCTCGGCCCAAAAGGTATGCTCCTGGTGCAGGCGAATGCTGCTCGGTGGGTCGAGTTCATGAGATCCATGTTGGGCATCTTATTTCCTGCACTTGGACCACTGCATGTCCGTCTGAATCCCATGAGTCATCCCAGGCTGGTCAATCTACAGGATCTACAGGATCTACGTCGACCAACGTCGACCCCGACGGTTTTCGGTTCTTTTTGGCTCATGAGACTTCTTGGGCTCCCCCGGGGTCCCCCGCCCCCTCCCCCGCACCCCGCTCCATCTGGTGAAGCCGGTGAACCTCGTCCTCCACCTGCTCCTGGCGTGGTCAAAGGACACAGAAGCCGATGTTCCATCAAACTGAGCCCTAAAACACATTCAACTGAACTCATTCACTTAGTTCAATCTTTCCACCTGATTATACCATATTATGCTTGTATCACGATAAGTGTTGGCCTTGTTCATCTCCAAACGTAGTTTCTGGACCTTTGGAGGCCAACAAAGGGGCACGATATGTGCGCAGGCGGAAAACACTGTTTTTCTCAAAGAGAAGCTTTCGAGGGAAACATCTGACAAGCTAGCGGCAGCTAGCGGCAACATTCCTGAGTAAGGATGAGGATTCAAAGTGAGGGTTCCCCTGTGGGGAAGCAAACAACACGAAATAACTCAGTCATGTTTGCCATGCACTCACACTATGAGCACGGTGGTCCTAGGTTGAAGCTTTCCTTCCGTCCACCTGCACAAAACCAGGTTAAGCTGCTCGTTCTCGTGAGCACGGCGGTTCTTGAGGCCACATGCCCAAGCCATGTAACCACGCTCCTGATAGGTGCCGGGGCCCAAAATGTACATCCCACTCCCCTCAGTGAAGCTGGCAAAGATCACTTCTTGGTCCTGCGACGAGCGTGCGAAAGACCAAAACAGTGTGTGTGTGTGTGCGTGCGCGTGCGCGTGCGGCTTGCGCTTGCGCGTGTGCTTGTGTAGATGGGTGGACGCCAACAGCTGTGCCAAGCTCATTTTGACCCTCGCACTTGCACATTCTTTTTTGCAATGTTTAATTTTCCAATTTTCGGCTGCCTGCTGGACCCACAAATTAAACTATTCTTGTCCCTTCTTTTCCCCTATATACTTCTATGTATATAATATTGAGCCGGCTGCTGCCTTGGCCAATCCAAAAAGACTGCCTTGGACCATTGTTTCTCCACGGGTTCAAGTTTGACTGGGTGACCGTGGAAGCTGGGGTAAGCAAGTGTTTGGAGAGCAAGGTGTTGCTGGTAACGTTCGTTGTACAGGATGGATAGATCCACATACCGAGTGGAAAGGAACGGGGAGCTGTTCTCGAGGAGAGTGACAGCGACATCGCAGAATGATAATGCAGGTGGTAGTTGTGAATCGATACCTGCTCCTCTGGATTGTTATGCGGATGAGGCAAGCTGAACAATGTGGGTGAGATCTTGGACATCGATGGTGCGTGGGGTGGGGTGGTGTCTACCAATGGTCGACCAATGTGAGATTGTTGGATTGGATTGCCGGTGGTATGGGTGCCGCATGTGAGTGATGAGCCGTCGTCAGGCTGTGCACGGCGGTGTTCGACCTTCGCGCCGCAGTCTGATCCCCCGCGTGGCTTTCGAGATGTCTGCAGACAATGTGACCCAATGAAAACCAAGGCGAGCAGGCATTGAATTCGAAAGTAGAGTGCGGAGGCGTCCAACCATGCAGGGGAGTTTATATAGAAAGTTCCCCCCCCCAAAAAAAGCTATATAAATGTGTGCAATAATGATGCGCTTGAAGGATCTAATTCAACGTCGCTCATTGATCCCTTCCCATCTGTGATCATACCCTCGTTGCATGCAGTAGATCATAGTAGATCATAGATGCTGCACGGCCTGATTGGCGAATTCATCATGCAACAAGTAAGAGGAAAGGGGGTAAGAGAAGACCCCTAAAGATGCGGGTGTGACACACACACACACACACACACTCACAGCTTCCACGGTTTTCCCTGTGTTGAGGGGAGGAGATGCAGTTCCCACCTCGAAGACCGTCAACTGCAACAGACCACAGAGTCGTGTGAAGGCCTGCCATGTCGGCCGAGTGGGTGTCTGAAACAGCAAATCTGCACCAGGGAGGGCGCGGAGGTTGAGGTGGGTACTCTCTAGCAATCTGCAGAGCTCCCTTCCTCGAAAAAGTAAGGCGGACCCTGACCACAAGGGACGAAGAAGCCCTGGAGAAACAGGTGGTAAACCATTCGTAAAGCACCGAAGCCCGTCCTTAGCTGGTGTGGATACCACTGACCAGTGGCCACGGTGCAACCTGTGGATATAACACATGAAGGGCCTTTGCCAGCATCCTGTGCATGTCAAACTCTTTCAGGCCAGATGGCATGTCCCAAGTGTGGTGCCTAGCTAGTCAACCTGCGGATTCGAAACCACTTGAACACCTTCAACTTTTCTAGGCCCTAGTCCAGTCTCCCACGGGTGCCCATAGTCTCGACATGTTGAGAAACATGTTCTCAACATGCCACATGGGGTTCCAAGCCAGTTCTCTCACACGACCACGCCGTCTTTTTCTCTCGTGCAACCCCCACATGGGCGGCGCAGGAGGGGTGACCGAAGAGCAGGCAATGGTTGGGAGCCGTTCCTGCCAAGCCCCTGGCTGAAAGACGGCTGATAGCACTAAAATATCCCAAAGAGATCTCTACAGCAACAAGGTTTGCTTGAAGATCTTGAAGCAGATTTGTCACGTTGTATTAAACTTGATTGCTTGGGCGGCAACTCCAGGCCCTGAAGGCCAAGAGGAACGACTGACTACCATTCCGGGCCCCGAGCCGGCAATGATCAGAATTTAGTGAGACCTGCAAAGGAATCTCCTACAGCAAGCCCGCAGCAGCTGTAACAGCTTTTTTGGTGGAAATCCCCTCAAAGGGCGGGCTCACCAAATCAGGAAGTTTCACTAAGTTGCTCCAACTATTCAGCCTTCAATCCTTTCTAACCCCCTAAGAGCGCCGCACCATCCATGACCTCTGCGTTCTACGCTTTGGGCTTGCTCAGGGCTCTGACCTCCTCAGGGCTTGGCAACTCGCGGGGCGTCACTAAGCGCACCTGCACAGGATAGGCGTGTGCATGAAGCCGGATAGTGCTTTTTGGGATCAAAAGGGGCGGGGAAAAAAGTCCCAACTATACCGCTTCAGAAAACTGTGCATCTGGGCGTTAGAATTCGGCCCACACGCCGCAGGGAGGGAACACTGGTAGGGCAAAAGCCAGTCAGCTACGAAAGCAAAAGGGGAAGAGGATGGAAATGGACCTGAACAACTGGTGGATGCTGGGGCCCTCGTGTGGTTCTTCCAGAGGCCAACCTCGTCCTGGATCCCATCCTCACCTCGGGCACTTTGCCCTGTAACGTCTCGACCACCTCCTGAGAGGTCTCCAGATGCAGCAGCGGCTGAAGCTGCCTCACCATCGAGCCACGCCTCAGCGAAGGAGGTGGGAAGCTGGTTGCAACTTGCAACCCACGAGTCCCACGAGCTGTGGGGAGAACCTTCCGCTGCTTCTTTTGATCCTCTCACTCTCTATGCAAGGTGAAGGTCTCTTCCGCCTCTTGGTTTCGTCATCTGGACCAAGCGGCCCAGCCAGGGTCGAGGAAAACATCACTCGATGTCGCCTCAAACTCCAAGGAGCGACGCCGTTCTGTTCATTTCTGTTCTACAAGGCCTAGTGGGACATACCCGTGTCGAAGCGAGGGACGCAGCATGAGCACCGATGAGCCAAGCTGGCGTTCAAGATTGGGCAACTGAACCACAAGCACCCGCAACAGGTGCCAACCCCCTCACCTCAAGTCCATCCAAGTCCCATGTGTCAGCCTGTAAGAAGCACCGCCCCGACTTGGCAGACTTTGCTTCTCCTACAGTATCATCTCCTATCTTTTTGGCTAAGTCCTTCCAACACCCTCCAAACCTCTACATCAGCCCACCCTCCAACGCCCTTCACGAGAAGCCCCTCCACCACACGCGGAGGATCCGCCCAGTGGCTGGAGCCCCGCGTCGAAGGCGCCGGCGGAGCTCAGGAGCTCCAGGGTCTCCTCCTCGGTGGCCTCGGCAGCGAAGGTGAAGACCTCGCAGCCGCGACCTCAGCGAAGGAGTCGCATTTTGGGGTGAAGTAGTGTGAAGCTGGCGAGAAGATACCTGAAACTCTTGATCAACACTTGGGCAACTAAAGAAAACACAAAAAACAACATACCAAAACATACTAAAACACACACCCCAAGTCAACCACTGGAGTGTCATCTTGCCCCCCTTTTCACTCACTTGCCAAACCCAAGCTGCAAAGCGCCAAGAAGGCGCTCAGCGCGACAGCCGGCTCCGCGGAGGTGCCCAGTAGGAGGCCATCCAAACAAAGGCTCACCTCGGCGAGAAGAACCACATCCCAACCCAAGGACCTTCTAAAGCTGCACATCTTTGTATGCACTTTTCCATCTTTTCCAGAGTTTGCAGTCAAACCCTGTTTGCACAGGGCACGCAAACCTCAGTCCACACGCGATAGATTGGCCATTTCCAGTTGAAGAGCGGTAAGATGGAGACTCCTTCCAGTTCGACCTAACACCTTCGTCACCGTGCTGGATGTACACCCGGCTAGCCTCTCATGAAGCGGCATACTGGACAACAAAGGTGAAGCAGTGAACAACATGGGGCCACAACCACAGGAGAGAAGCGCCTGACTTTCACGCACGGGTTTCTCCATTCACTCTGAATTGAGCAATAGACATGGCATGGCTTTGCAGGAAACACTTTGCGCCCAAAGGCTGTAGGCCGCGTCCCTTGCTTCGACTTCTTTTCGCTCGCAGAGGGAGATCTGGAAAACCTCGGGCGAAACACCCGAGAAGACCTTTGGTGAAGAACCTGGGGGACGGGGAGGACCTGATCCTAGCAGCCCCCTGAGGCAGCAGCGTGTGAAAGGCCAACCCGCTGGTGGATGTTCAACAATATGTTTCTCCGTTTTCAGCACTTGGCAATCCACCCACACATACCCACACAATGGTGTGGTGACTGTGGCTTCTAGCACAGGTGGACAATAGCTTTCCTTGGTGGAGCACAAGCAAAACCCAGGGTGCCACCTGTTGATGAATTGTGCATAATTCTGGCCAATGATAGTCACCAAGAAAAGGCACCCCAAACGCATGAACATGCTTATATGACCCATCCAAGTTTGCTTGAACTCTGGGCTTATATACCTGGTGGCTTTTCGGCGGGTTCCCGAACCCGGTGGTGTGCAGCTCGTCCGACCCTAGGCAGCCGTCCGTCTTGTCCAAGTGGCAGGAAGACCAAAGCACAAAGCAGAGCCACGATGGTCCAAATCACATAGGGGGCCTTGAGTCCGGTCGGTGCCCCGGCTGGACCCTTGCCCATCCTTGCCCAACCTCTCAAACTGCATTGTGACTCGCAGCAATTCGGCGTCTTCCACTGCGAGATCCAGTTTGAACTAACCAGACCTTCGACGGCGGAAAACGGGGTTGAAACTGACTGTTAAACATGGGCGGTTAAACATGGGCGTTTGCTAGGGCGGCTAGGGGCCTGTAACTTGTCTGCATCGAGAAAATACGGTTGACGTTGCGGGCACCCCAAGCCAAACAAGGTGTTGCATCTTCCGCCAACATTGCACTTAGCACTTGGTCAAACATACACCAAGCATGATTGCACAACGCCCTTGCGAGCCACTGGACCTTGCTTGCTCCACCTTGCTCAGTTCTATACAATGGATCGAATCCTATACACTATTATACACTAATCAGTCACTAATCACACATCATCCTACCCCTTTTTGACTTTGGTGAGCTGCTTCCAAGTACACACATACAGTACTGGTCACGCATTCCCCCTTCTCTCACTCGCGCCAGCTTTTTGATCGCGATCCGTGTGTGTGCCGCTCTTGAAAAAGGGCCAGATAAAGCAAGTGGATCAGAGATCTGCGCCAAACTGCGCAGCCTTGCCTCGGCCGGACCGCGTTCGGAGGTGTGGAAAGTGGCAGAAGTCACATTCCAAGCCTCGGATGCAACCGGAAGGCTTGGCTAAGAACATGCAGGGTAAGCACGAGTGTGGATGGTTCACGCTTCCCATTGAGGTGGGACGACCATCCTCAGAGCGGGGAACTTTCAAGAGCAGATTTTCTCGCTCTTCGCTCTTTGCTGCAGCGCGGCGGAACTCTGAGCTGGCCACCGATGCTGCACTACCATCACTTCGACTTGGTCGAATCCAAAAGCGAGGATCGCTGGCCTCACTTGCCGAGCTGGTCGAGTTGGAGAAATACCCGCTGCTCGCTGTCTCGTCCACCACGTGCTCGTTGGGCAGTTCCGGTGCGGGTTCAGCGTTCTGCATCTCCTGCACTTCCTGCGCGCGGGAGGTCGAGATCTCTGAAGCCACCTCTCTGGCGGACGAAGACTCTGAACACTCGGTTTGAGCGAACGCCTCCTGTCAGGGCAGGGTGGCCAAACACCCAAGCAGCCACTGTTGCTAGACCTTCCTAGATTGAAAACACTTGAACACAGGTCGCGCTCACGCATCGCAACAGCTTTTTGCCACACGATTCCCGACCCCAAGACTCGCCAAGAAATGGGGACCAGCATGGAGCAGCAAAAAAAACAGCTACAGAATTGGCTCCGACTTCGACTTCAACTGGGCCAAAGACTCCCGACTTCGACGGAAACACGCCTGGCTCCCAGCCACTTCCGGCGGAAGGCGTCGCGCGCGCTGACAACACCCGAGTCTCCTGTACACAGACCTAGCCATGGCTATGGTCAGAAATCTGAATGTCGTTTTGGCCGGCCTTGCGATTGAGTTGATTGAGTTCGCGTGATTGAGATGATGTTGCGTAGAGACGGTGATTGGCCTTGGAAGGTGGTGGGTGGCCCTCCTGTTTGCCTGTCAGGCCTGGCTACACATGTCACAGCCTGAGACACCCAACTTGTGCGTACAACGGCAGCGCTGGCACGTCACCACTGGACCCAGGTTCTCGACTCACCCAAGTCTGGCCGCTCGTGATCTCAGCCAGAATGAACATTTGCCCAATATATATATATATATGTATAACACCTAGAATGAATTTTGACCTCTGTTTTGATAGGAAAAGGCCAAAACGGGGGTCAATCAGGTTCTAGGTAAGTAGTCAGGAGGACACAAGGCGGTCCGGACAAAAAAGACGTCGTTGGTGCGGTGCGGATTGACTGACTGCTTGGAACTCAGTTCTTCCAAAGGGTGACCAGGACCCACCCACACTGGCCCGTACCACTCTGAGCTGGGCACATTCTTCTTATAGACGGCCATCAGATCCGCCATGACCCGATCCACGTGGCAATGAAGGAACGAATCGACGATGAGCGAACAAAAGAAGATGTTGGGAGTGGAGAACCTGTGCAGCTACAGTTGTGTAGTCTGCTTTCTGGGCCGGCAGAAAAGGATCTCAAGAATCACCCAAGAATCGCAACAAAACGATCACCCAAAGCGATGACCCGGCCTTCCACAGGAAATCTTGAGTCTAAGAATTCGTAAATCTTGGGCCCACCTTATCCATCCTCAAAGAGTCAGCCTGCACGATACATGCTAAGCCTCAATTGAACATATTCTGAGCACGCCTACGCTTCGTCTATGGCAACACAACTGAATTCTATGGTAGCTATCCAGCATGGGGCATCCACCTTGGTCGACGCAAGTCAGGTTCTCTTTCCAGTTGATGTTCAAACGCTTTGATGCTGTCATAGCTAGCTTAGGAAGGCTGCTTGGTGGACCCTCCTGTTGCTTTGCATCTTGAGCCCAGGTAGCGGGTTTGTGATAAACACACGGGTCGACGCCTGGCTTTCTGTTTGGCCATGGCGAAGAAATCAAACGTGGAATGTGCTTGATCCTGACAGGAGAACAAAAATCTCACATCTGCGCATGTCCTGTATTTGGATTCGGGTGAGCTCTGGCAAAGCAATAAGACCAAAGGGCTCAACCTCCACATGACGAGACTTGCGATTTCCCAGGTCCCAACCTCCACCCCGGATATACCGGAATTAGGTTGAACGATGACAGATGGTTTGCGAACTCAGAGCGTTTCCAGCCCACACGGCCCCACGAGCGCCTTGGCAGAGATGGACTCCAAGAAGCCATACCTGGGACCCAAAAAGACAAGACTCAGCGTATTTTGTTTGGCCCGCCTTGGCCCCATGGACACTGAAACCACCATTTCCATGCACAACCTATTTCGCCCAGTGACTGCTCAGATCGGGGGATGTTGACCGTCCGCAAGTGAGGGTACCAGTACCAACGCTTCGCTACCGCTGTCTGGCCACGGCTCACATCTTGGTCAGCCTAAAAGAGTGTCAATTTGAGGATCACGATCGATTTTTTGGGATTATATATATATATACACCACTTAATCCATTGGTTGGGAGCCATGGCATGGCGCAGTGGTGCGGTTCTAGGATGTTCCATGCCTTGTCCTGTCTTGGGCTGGACGAGCCAGAAAGAAGACACATGACGGCTTCGGGAGGCCCGAAAGACTTGTGGGAAGCTCTGGGAAGAGCAGGATCATCAAAGACCCTTGTACACACCCTGATCGTCAAGGGCCACATCTGCTCTTGTGGCGCACATGCCATGCCGGCGTAGGATGGGCCCCCGCCGGTCCATGTGAAGCCTCAGCCATCCCCGGACCGTGCTGGGGACGGGCTTTGGGACTGGTGGGAGCCACTCCGAAACCCGCACCCATGGGTGGAGGAAGATATAAGTTAGCATGAAACCGCAACATACCGATACCTCACTTCAGGCCAACGTTTGGGTCCGGGAGAGCAAGAGTCAGCCCGTGTTCAGGCAGTTTCTGGTTCAAAAGCAGGGAGGGGAGGCACACTTATCATGGAAAGAGGATCGTTCCCTTTGAAGGGGCAAGGTCAGTGACCCATGGTGGCCGAGTGGAAACATATCAACGAAGGACCTGTAGACCTGGCTTTTCAGAAAGCGGACGTCCGCTTTCCTTGCGGCGGTTGGTGGAGGAATGAAGAGAAACACAATCTTGAATCTTGAAGTAGGTGAGGTGGCACATGTGCTGAGCAACAGGTTCTTGTTTTTCCCAGGGCACTGATTGGGCACTTTCTTGACCTGCACGCCATACAGCAATGCGAATATCTGCCGCTCTTTTGATTCAGCATGTACACTCCTACCGTCAGCATCCGTAGGCCCCGAAAGTACAGCCCATGTCGGTCTGAGAGCAAAGAATTTCTGAGACATCAAGTGCACCAGAACATGGTCGATCAAAGATTTTCTGGGTCCAAACAACCTCGACCGGGAAAAAGCCCAGCAAGAGCAGAAAGCCAACGAGCAAAAAGCCAGCTCAGTTTCAACCTTCATTCCGGACAGCCCTTTCACTAGCTGCACTAGCTCTGCATATCTCTGCATCCCAGCAGCTCGTTGATCAAGTTCTGCGAGAGAAGCGTCGTATCCAAGGGTGCCGCCTTGCTTCCAGGTTCGTCGTGCTGTCACTCGCGTCGAAACAACACGACCGGACGGCGAACCGCAGCGTTTCGCAGCGGTCGTATGGTGCGGCTAATGCCCCAACACTCCAAAGAAACCGGACACTCCAAAGATTGTTTGGTCTGTGTCTTCACTTCTTGGCAGCTGGCGCCACACCTCGAGGGCACACCTCGTGGCCCGATGGCCCCGCCGGCCCCGCGGCCGACATGTCTAGCTGATGTGTTTCTCGATGGGGAGGACACCAGCCAAGCATTCCGATGAAAACAACGCCTCATGATCCATGTACCGCGCAGTACGTGCCGCGGCGTCTGCCCCAAAACCGCACCTTGTGCCGTGTGAGGCTGTGGTCCACGAAGCGGAGAACCCGGATGCAGAGGTGCGTGCTGATCCTTAAAGAGTCAGCTGATGGGAGCCGTGAATAGTTCCTCATGGTTCCCGAAAAACTGCTATGAGCAAAAGGCACACTGGTTACTCTCTTGTTTTGTGTGGTCCCTACCTGGGCGGAAGAATGCAGCCTCGCCGGCTGCGGCAGTTTTCGTTGGCGTTGCCCAGAAAAAATGTGGAACCCATCAAGCAAGACATGTTTTTTTCCCCACTAACCTGAGAACTGAACCGTGAGACACAACCGAGTGGGTTTGGGGTTCCAATCTGCAGGGGAGTAAGAAGGGAAGACGAAGACGACACCCAACCCATTGGTACATTAATGTATCTGGTATATGTTCTTCTTCCTTCGCGCCTCAATATGTGTAAAAAGGGATCAGTGCAAGAGACGCCGTAACTCGGTGCTTTCCGAGCAACGAGTTCATCAGGATCAAACACGCCTCTCTCTCTCTCTCTCTCCCGCTGTTGTGTTGCAGGTTCCTTCCCCACCAAGGCTCTTGTTCATCTTCAAGTACATCGCCACCGACCGTTTACGGTCACTGACCTGGTCAGGAAATCGTCGAGTTTCTGCGACACAATTCTGCACGATGATGACCGTAAAGGATTCAAGTTGGTTGACACTCGATTCTTCGAGTGTCTTGACACTAGCATCGGCCTCGCTGTTCAGCTTGATGACTTGCTGGATGGTGGCAGAGACACGGCTGATGCAGCTGCCTCGACCCAAGCTAACACCAACTTGAAAGATTGGAGGCTTTAGGTCAAAAATCTAGTGGTCTCCTGAAAGAACGAGAGGATGTCCAGCCCGTGGCTAAAGATTTTGGGATTGCTATGGCTATGGAGGCCCAAAACAGTCATCCCCCGTCACCATGCTGAAGGACATGTCTCAAGCGAATTGAACACAGAAACGGATCAATTGGGTGCTTCTTTGTGATGGCGATCGGTGATCTCCGTCGGAGAAAGGAGCTTGGGTGAGCATCAAAATCCGCATGGTCGCCCGATGAATCCGATTCGGTGACCACTCGAGTCTTACTCGAGTGCTCATGCTTCTGATTGGCCAGGTGCCTGGCTGTCAGATGTGCCAATTCGTTCAGTGGGCAGCTGGATCAGAGGGCAGAATTTATATGTTGGTTGAAGTCGATCGGAGTTGGAGTTGCAGAAAGTGCCAGTCAAACATGTATGTCTCGTTTGGAGTGAATTGCCTCATCACCTTTACAATACCAGGCTATATAGATGGCATAGCCCAAGGACGGGCCCTTCCATTTGGAGAGCTCCCTTCGAGTCATGGCTGGCAAATGACCAGACTCTCTGTTCCCCTCTGAGGTCACTGCCAACCACCAGCAAGGAGAAGAAGATCACGAAGACATTGTAGGACCGTTCTGGGGTGTTTGTCGCCTCAAACGCCAAGGGTTTGGCGCGCGTGTCTGGCTGGAACTTCAAGCAGCCTGTTGAACAGACGGTCTCATCTAGGAATTCGATGAATTCGGACATGTGGAGCCATAGTCGGGTTGCACCTGGGTTTTGGCATCACCTTCCAGCCACGCTGGGAGAAATCCATATTCTAATGCTGTCAGGAAGTATGCCTAGGATTTGCCACGGAAAAACCTTCGATAACTGTACAGTAAGGCGCAAGGTTTCATTGGATTGAATCTTCCCCAGCCCATGAACACTTAGCCTCGCAAACGGCCATGGATCCAGGGAGGATCGACATGTTTGGACACCTTGTTTAACCAATCAGCAAACACACACATATATATTTATATATATACATTATAGATATATATATATATATATGTTACATGCGTAGAAAAATGCAAAGAGAGAGAGAGAGAGAGAGAGAAAAAACAAACAAACATAATGTGTATATACAGTATTGCAGTAGTTATTAGTTCCTCAAATGCCCCAATCCTTTGGCATGTGCGCTTCAGGCTTGGGAGTCTTTCAACGCACCTATATACATGATGCACTTTCCCACCCACTGACCGAGGCGCATGAATGCTACTTGGAGCCGGAGTGAATTGGCCCAGAATCCAATGGCAGCTGGCTAGGTACCTCAAACTTGTTTGTTTTCTCAGAGCGGGTTCATGGTTTGTGGGAGCTCCTGCCTTTTCCAAGGAGGGTTCATGACAGAACTGAAGCCAAAATGAAATTGAACGTCACAACCTAGAAACTGAAAACCAAAAAACAGCACGCTCCTCACAATGCCAAACATGCTAGATCCAAGATACTGGACTGGCCCGGGTTTCGTCGTCATCATGTACACACGCAGCCAGTTGTCCTCGAGAGAAGTGCTGCAGATTGCAGGATGTCTCCAAAACCAATATTGGAGCTCGGGACACTTGATGAACTGTAGGAGCCTGCCTGCCTGCCTGCCTGCCTGCCGGCCTAGGCTGTGAGCTCAAAGGCTTAGAAACAGGTCAAGGCAAACATACCGGTACCCCGGACATCTGAATACCCAACATGGTTCAGTGCACGTGCATGGTTCAGTGCACGTGTTCGTGTTGTGTGGGGCACCGGCTGAACAACTTCCGCGGACACGGGAACCACTCCCAAACAGACCAATGACGCACCCACCTGCACACACACTTATGCAACAAATGCGTACTGATTTGAAAGCGATTTGCCCGCCTAGGTTCCCAAATCCTGAACTGTTCATGCAAAACCCCCAAAAGATCCTGAGGGTCTTAAACGGAGATGAGGCCAAAAACTCAAGTCGAGATCGAGACGACAAGTGACGGCGTGGCGTGCATGTCTGCCGAAAAACTTTACAAATTAATGCAGGCACGTCAGCAACCTGAAGAGCCTCTTTGTTGGATGCCCTCTCTTCAGGTGTGGGGCGGTGGCTACACTCGACTTCGGTTCCAACCCGGTCCGAGGCTTCGGTTGTGGATGATCTTAATCTGGACGACCCGCTCTTCAAGGAGCATTGGAAGGAGGACGCATTCCTGCGCATGGACGTCTTCATGGGGTTGTTCGGGGTTCCCCCCAGCTGACACCGGTCGACGGTCTACAACATCCCTTCCACGGCCCCGGCCTTCCTCACGCGCAGACGGACCTACCTCGGCGAACACGTCGCCGGTTCTGGCCATCCAAGTCTTATTGCTCCACAGCACCTGCGAGAAGGAGATGCGGACGACGTGCTGGTCTGGGAGGTGTGCTTTCATGTTTGCCCCGGCCTTAACCTCCTCGACCGTGGCACAGTATCTGGCCCAGATCCACACCGGGGCCCCGAACTCGGAATGGGCGAGCACCCAATAGTAACCTGCACGGGATCCAAGTTCCTGTCTTACTAATCCAAAAAGATGGCCGTTCGCTTCCCCCAGTGCCCTGAGCGACCGAGGTCGGAACTTTGGCGCGAATCCATGGGGGTGCTGTGCCTTGCTGAGGAGCCGAGATCTTGTGGAGAAACGATTTCTGCTTCAAGCCAAAGCTGCAAGAGCCATCATCTTGAAGTGAACATGCAAGCCAACGCGCATGCTCAAAAAACGACAAGAACCAAAAGGACGAGGTCTCTGTGCCTTACCTTTGGGACGCGTGGCCACACTCACAGGAAATGATCTTGCCCTTGCATGACACGAACATGGTCCAACCGCCGCTGAGCTTTTTCGCGAGGTACCATTCGCTGTGGTCAGGCGCTTTATTAAAAAACAAAACTTTCGCCCACGCAGGCGTTCCATCGCCGCTCCCCGACCGCAAAAGGGTTTCGGATACATACCTCAGGGACCCTCATTCGAAGCCCGCGTGAAGCATTGCACCTGCCCCCGAGCCTTTTCCGTGTTTTCCTGGCCCGGGGCAACGTCACAGAAGAAGAGCACAAAGACGGGTTTGATGCCATGCTATTTGCATAACTCGCTCTACACTCCATGCCCTTTTCGGGTCGCCGGTGTAATTTGCTCGCCTTGCCCCTGCGCTGCCAGCTTCTTGTGCGCATTTCTGGCCGTGCCATTTCTGGCCGTGCAGGAAAAGAAGCAGAGACCGCCAGCAAATGCGTCGTAAAGACTTCCAAGCCCCCGACACTTCTCAAAACAGCGCCAGCAGCAGAAGCCCCGGTACTTCGTTCGATTTCGGTGTGCCAAGTACCTGTGTCACAACAAGCGCCGCCGGCCTGGAAAAGCATGTCAAGCCAGCCCCTTGCATACACACGTGCGCATTGAAGCTGTCTAGCGCGATGAATTGCTGAGGGTCGGGCGGACAGCCGGGGGTGACGCAAAGTAAGAGCGGCAGACTGGGCGGAGCCTCGCAGGACAAGCGCCGGGATTGGAACTGTCCGAGGACTGACCGAGGACTGACTGGCTGACCGTCCGGCCTCCAGGCGCTCATCCTCAAGCTTGCGGCAAGGGCCCGAGTTTTATGTGAATTGGTCTTGCCCATGATGTAGGGAAGCAGCTGGCAACTATACGCCACTGAGGCCAAAGACTGAGGCTAAAGCAATCCATTTCGGCGCTCTGTTTAGACATCGCAAGGGGCCGGCCCGAAAGAAGAGACAAAGGGTTGAGACTGGTAAAATCCTTCCTGTGAGCCAACGCTGTGGCAATATGGGACAATGAATGCCCCAGCAAACCAACGCGCCGTGTCACCGTTCTTCCCGCACCTTCTCACAACGCGGCCTTGCCCGATGGGCTTTGTTTTCAATGCTCGCGCTTTCAAATCACATCGTGGGCGGGCCGCCGCTCTACCTCAAATGTCTTCGGGCCCGTCAGGAACACGCACGCCTGGCGCTAGGAGGCAGAACAAGCCCAAACGGCAAGCCAGAGCATTCCCCGCCTCTGGCGGTAGCCCCAACACGTCGCGAATTTCATCGCATATCCAGTCATTCGCGGCGCCTCAGACACAGAGGCGCAAACACCATGCATGCAGCAAGGGCCTGTGAGCGGCAACGCTTCAAGGACGAGGCCCGCGCCCGGCAAGGCCCAAATCAACACCCGTGACAGCATGCCCCAGGTCGTGTTCCGGTAGATCCGGGCCTGCTGCCGGCCAGGGCTAGCGGCTAGACATTATACGGGGGATGCGCCAAACCACTCCTGCCTCCAGTCTTTCGTCGACCATCTTCTTAACCACCGACCTTTGCTTAGCCACCTGGTTCAGCTCGTGATCGGTCGGCCGACGTAGTACCAGGAAGGCGCTGTTCCCCGTCAGGACCACGTACGCCTGGCCGCAAAGCTGCAGGTGAAAAGCGGGCAGGAGAGCAAGCAACTTTATTGAAATTATGCCCTGGCTCTGCACAAATGGCTTCGCAGATGGCGTCTTCGTCTGTGAAGCAGCCTCGGAGAACAAAGCCACGAAATAACCCGCAAACCTCGAAAGTCAAAACTCTAAGGCCCACGCCGGGTATCTTCCTTCACGCGGCCATCCATCCCCCAAGTCGTGTTCTGGTAACTGGTTTCCTGATGGGTTTATAGCGGCTCACAGTGGACAAGAGAATTCCCTCCGCAGAGGGTGGCAGGAAAGGACTAATTGGACAGCCTGCGACGCACCAGGGAGGCAGGAAAGGACTCTGGGAGGCACCAGGGAGGCAGGAAAGGACCATTTGGGCCCTGGCACGTGATCACCGAATAACAATAATAATTAATAAAAATAAATAATAGCAAAAACCTGTTGGACCGTCGTTATGGAAGCCGCAAGGGTTTACGATTTATACAGGGAACTGTGTGAAAATATGTATACCATTGTGCCTTGCACTCGGGCTCGGTGCCCCCGTTCGTCAACTCAATCAGTTCCTCGTGGCAATATTTTAGCGTGGCAACAAAGTGGGAACAAGAACCTCAAAGTGGGACAAGAGTCGGAACAA